GAACAATCATCCATGGTACAACATGTGTCATCCATGGTACAACATGTGTCATCCATGGTACAACATGTGTCATCCATGGTACAACATGTGTCATCCATGGTACAACATGTGTCAAGTAGAGTAAGCATGATCACTCACTGTTCCAATCACTGGCAATCCACTAGCGTTCTTAATGAAGATATCCATGTTAACGCCTTCATCGAATGGAGGATAGTTCCCTCGTCCTTGGGTGACACTGATGCCTGGGTCCTATCATAGCATCATTATATCAGGAGTAAACAACGAGAGAGTAAGACACGTCAGAACAAGAAGAAAAATTCCTCAACATTTACTAGTCTTGGTCCACCTATGATTGAAAATTTCTCAAAAGCCAAGTGGGCCGTGGTCTCTCTCCCATAGGTTATGGACCCTGAGACCAGATGCTAGACACAAAACTAGTCTTGACATTTGTCTTTACATGTTTCTTATACTCTTACACTTATTAAACTTACATTTTTTCGTAGACTGTTGACAGAATTTAGTTTCGTAAAGTTGGCTAACCAAGGAAAAAATTTGTTGGGATTTTTCATTCTCGAAACTAAACAACGTTTTTGTCTACGCTCTAAAAGCAAAGGTTCGTGCTAAGACTAGTTAAAACTAATTTTATTTTTGACAACCTTCATCCCGTCGTCAGCTGTCGCTGACTGGTGTCCGCGTCTACTCACCACGATGGGGACGTAGCGTTGACCTTGCATATGAAGGTCACCCACCAGGTAGGGAAGCTGGGTGAATGACGGCTTGCGCAGCGTAAAGTCAAGCTCCTTGTCCATGTAATCAAGATCATTCCATTGAACGTCCTGCAAGCCAAGACAAGTGATTGAACCATTTATATATATATATATATATATATATATAATTATATTCTTATTATAGTTTAGATAAAATATGTTTATTAAATAATAGTTTTTCATTCCGCCTATAATATTAATTTGAGCTTGTGTACCGATTACAGCAAAGATTACAATACTCACGTATGGAATCCCTGATTTTCTCATTCGGTTAATCACTTCCCCCATGTCCAATGCAGTATCGTAGCCCCATCGACAAAGATGATACCCAAGTGCCCAATATGGTGGCATGGCTGGGCGACCAATCACATCGAGGTACTGTTGGATAACAGATGCTGGATCGGGGCCCGTGAAGAGGTAGAAATCAAAAATACCACCGATGGTGCGAAATGTTATCGCTGGTGTCGGCTGTAGTACCATCTCTGCAACGGGAAATATATCACGTGGAGAGTAAGAAATGGCAGTACAAGCATCAAGGGAATCACTACACGCACAAACATATCTACACATTCAGGAGTAACATAATTATGGATTTATTCCTTATCTTACCCCTAATACACTGTATAGATTTGTTCATGATATCACCATAAAATGGATGATGGGTATTGCTATGATGAACCTACTGTTTATGTAATCACGCATCGCTGTATGAATGTACGATCCTAGGTGCATTATATAGTCATGTTTCCCTTCAGCCTCAGGTGTACTTGCAGCAGCCATTTACAAATATTCAGACGCTACACTACAATAAATGTTCTATAAGGGAATTGCAGAAATTACTTACCCATGGCATTACTATTCAGTAGTAATACGCCAAAACTGTCTCCATTGTCTTCCATGACAAGATAGAACGGGTGCATTCCATACAGGTTCAAATCTCCCTACATCATGGAGTAATAAGGAAGGAAATTAGCAATCGTTGCACACAATCATATCACTTGGGCAAATGTAGCACGCATCAAGTGAATGTAGAAACATTGAGTTTTTGATGTTGCTGTGTTAGTTGTGATTTATCATGTTACATGGTTAAATATGTGTGTGGTATTCCCCAAGTAGCTATCAATTGCTCGCGCTGGGAAAGCAACACTTATCATAATGAACATTGATACTTCAGTGAAACGTGATAGTGATTTTAAATTTAATATAGATTACTTATTTCGCATAACACAACTTGAGAATATACCCCGAATTCTTACCAAATGATCTTGCTTGGAAATAAATACTCACAAGGTTGGGAGCGTTTCCTTTATTCCAGAAGGCAAACCTTGACCAGTTAGTGGGCAGCATGAAGCTGTCTTGATGTTCCCCGAGCCCATAGATGGCGTGACTGGGCAGTCTGCTGGACAGCTGCAAGAACTGGTCAGCAAAGATCATGTTTCCTACTCCGGTGTCAAATCTGAATATATATATATAGCAATGGTATATTGACAGATCAAGTGAAAAGGATAAGTAATGAGTGCGGTGAACGAGTGAAAATGTGTAAAAGGGCGAAAATAATTGGTGAAAAGTATAAAGGTAATGAATGAAATAGAGTAGTGATGATTGAAAAATCGAAGGTAATAAATGAAATGGAAGCGAGAAGACTAAGTAAGGTGAGTTATAAGTGTGAGCTAGATTGTAATAAGAAATAAGTTTAATAATACATGCCTCATGTTATCACACTGTATATGAGCTAAGGTTAAAATGTTTTTTTTCTACACGATTGCTCATCAACTGACACCCTGGGAAGCAGCACAAACTCTGATGACAGCATTTACTGTCATACTACATAGTATGAATCGTTCACTTACAGGACAGTCTGTGTTGATCGCCTCGTAACTTTGAAACTGAAAGGCATCTTCCTGACTGTGACGATGTAGTCTGTGACATTCGCTGCCTTCGCGACACGCGGTGTCTCGATTGGAACTTCATACCTTTTCTCATTCGGATCATAAATCTGTGATGAATTCAAAACAACACCCGTTTAGAAGTGAATTAATGAACCCAGCCACCATAATCACCAGCAAATACAAGCCAGCTTAAATGCTAACATGTGCACCTGGTCTCATTATAACTGCTTCAATGCAGGTTTTTTACACAATTAATGGTGATAGTAAGATTAACTATTTAAATGCCACTTCAACTTCTTCACAACTATTTATCAGATTGATCAGAGTACTTGATCAGTACTCTACAACATAGAGGGACGAAAACTTAGAAAGGGAGAGAAAGATAATGAGAAAGACATGGATAGTTATAGATTGGAAAGGGGATGGCGAGAAGGGATTTGAAAGGGCACAGAGAAAGGTCAAGAGATAAAACATCTCTCTCTCTCTGCTCCTCTCATCTGCTCCTCTCTCTCTCTCGTCTCCTCATCTCTCTCTCATCTCTCTCTCTCTCTACTCCTCTCTCTCTCCATCTCCTCTCTCTCTCTCTCTCTGCTCTCTCATCTCCTCTCTCTCTCTCTCTCTCTCTCTCTTCTCTCTCTCTCTGTCTCTCATCTCTCTCTCCTCTCTTCTCGCTCGCATCGCTCGCTCGCTCGCTCCGCATCGACCTCGCTCAGGCTCTCTCTCTCTCGCTCTCGCTCTCGGCTCATCGCTGCTCGCTCTCGGGGCTCTCGCTCCTCGCGTCTCGCTCTCGCTCTCAAGCTCTCGCTCTCGCTCTCGCGTCTCCGCTCTCGGGGCTCTCGGGCTCACTCGCTCTCGCTGCTCTGCGTCTACGCTCGTCGCCTCGCTCTCGGGCTCTGCGCTCTCGCTCTCGCTCTCGCTCTCAGCTCGTCGCTCTCGCTCCTCAAGCTCTCGCTCTCGCTCTCGCTCCTCCGCTCTCGCTCTCGCTCTCGGCTCTCGCTGCTCAGGCTCTCGCTCATCGCTCCTCGTCTGCGCTGCTCGCTCTCGGCTCTCCGGCTCCTCGCTCATCGCATCTCGCGTCTCGGCTCTCGCTCTACGCTCTCGCTCCAGCTCTCGCTCTCGCTCATTCTAGGCTCTCGCTCTCGGCTCTCGCCCTCGCTCTCTGCTCATCACGCTCATTCGCTCTCGCGCTCTCGCCTCGTCTCGCTCTCTGCTCTCCGGGGAGCTCCGTCTCTCTCCTCTCTCTCTCATCTCTCTGCTCTCTCTGTCTGTCTGTCTTGCTGTCTGTCTGATCTGTCTGTCTGTCTGTCTGTCGGGCTCTCTCTCTCTCTCTCCTCTCTCTCTCTCTCTGCTACTCTTCTCATCCTCTCTCTCTCTCTCTCTCTCTCTTTCTCTTTCGCTCTCTCTCTCTCTCTCTCTTTCTCTCTCTCTCTCTCTCTCTCTCTCTCTCTGTACGTGTCTCTCGCTCTCTCCTCTCTCTCTCTCTCATCGTCTCGTCTCTCTCTCTCTCATCTCTCTCCCTCAAGGTGCTCTCATCTCACTCTCTCTCTCTCTCTCTCTCTCTTCCTCGCTCTCCGTCTTCTCCCTCTCTCTCTCCTCTCTCTCGTCTCTCTCTCTCATCTCGTCTCGTCACTCTCATCGTCTCGTTCTCTGCTGTTCTGCTCTACTGTTCTGTCTGTCTGTCTTGAGTCTGTTGCTGTCTCTGTCCTGTCTGCTGTTCGCTGTTCTTCTGGGCTGCGTCTCTC